CAGTTTTTGTGTAGACAACATTTGACACTTTTGACGTGTAAGTTTTGCTTCCTTATTGTTTTCAAGTACAGTACCTGGTTTAATCATATTGTGTAATTTAAAAGATATACTGTATGAAATTGTATAATTCTGTTGTCTCTAATTGACATGAACCAGTGGACAGGTGGGGCAGGGGGCAGACCCCCCCCCCTCACTGACGGAGGGGAGAGGGGGGAAAGAGAAAGAAGAGGGAGAGGAAAAGGAAAGGAAAAAGGAAAAGAAAAAGAGGAGAGACAAGAATAAAAAGGAAAATATCATATGACCAGACTCACAACACGCTGCAACCTCTTCTCCACTTAACTCCTTTGATCTAAGCTGCCAAATGGCGTAGGCTAACCACCGGGGAACAAGGGGAAAATATCTATCTTTGGAAACTCTTTCCCACCCCCTTATAAATGCCCTTTTCATCCAGTGAAACGGTGCCTAAAAATCTCAAATTTCGAGCGCTTCGCGCGCATTTCTTGTCAGAGTAGGCCAATTTCCTCTAAAAATTGCACATTTTAGGGATTTTGGATCAATTCCGACGAAATTAGAATTAAAAACACCGGGGGACAAGGGGGAAATATCCATCTTTGGAAAATCTTTTCCCACCCCTTGATAAATGCCCTTTTCATCCTCTGAAAGTGCCTAAAATCCTCAAATTTCGCGCGCTTCGCGCGCATTTCCTGTCAGAGTAGGCCAATTTCCTTTTAGGAATTGCACATTTTAGGGATTTGGGATCAATTCCGACGAAATTAGAATTAAAAACAAAAACTTTTTCCGCGCTTCGCGCGCATTTACTAGGTTTTTTTTAAAGGGTTATCCTTATTTAAACACATAATATTTCCAAACTCAAGAAAGAAAAATTTAAGATAGATCGTTTTAACCTAAAAGAAGGGCCTCAATGTGTATTGATGGTGAAAGAATATGTTTGATAAAACCATGATGAAAATGCTTTATTTTTACACGCCCCCCCCCCCCTATTTTTTTCTTGCAAAGAAAAAATTACACCCACAGTGTTTAAATCTTCTTTTCCTTAAAATCAGGTAACAATAGTACACAATAATTTACAAAAACGTTAACCAGTAATTACGTTTATTCTCTTTTCTCGATCTGCAGGTGTTTCTGTCCATCCTGATCCTGTCTCTTATACACATCTAGATGTGTATAAGAGACAGGGTTTTTGGATATTAGTTTTCCTTTTTGCTGATTTTGTGATTTTTATGTTCAATGTTGCTGAGAAACTTCATCATGTTTTCTAGAAGTGAAATTTCTCTTTTGAAATGGTGTACATTTATGAGCCTTTGTATTTTGTCAAAGATTAGGTTGTGAGTAGATGAATTATTACTAATTTAATGACACATTTCATAGTTGCATTTTGCAGGTACCCTGTATATTAAAATTTCTTTTAAAAGATGCTAGATAGTCAAAATCGACTCAATACAACCTCATATTCCTCAAATGTGCTGGGCTTCAAGGGCTTCGCCCCCTTGGACCCCCACCAGGGGCTCTGCCCCTGCACCCCGCCGGGGCCCCCTGGCCCCCAGCCTAAGGCTGCTCGATTCGCTCGCAGATTACATCCCCCCTTTTTCCCCCTTTTTTTTTCTGGCAGGCTGCATCCGCCCATGCCCTCGGTGCTTCGTATCTTGGCTGGTCGTCCATCTTTACTTTGGCGCCCGCTGTCTCTTATACACATCTAGACTAAATCCTTTATCCGCCCCTGAATATAGTTATATTATATATCAATTAATATGTCACATTTTACAACTATTGCTGAATTTGAAACGATTGAAAAGACCGGCAGCTCGAAACAAAAAGCATCGAAGTATCCGTATATGTAGAACAGTATTCTACGACAACGCAATGTCTGCCAAATGTCTTGGAAAAGACGACTGTTTGTGTACCAGGACTTGTAGTTGAGTACTGTCTAACTGACATCAAGTTTTGTACGGGCCTACAGCTCTCCTATAGCTAGGGGCGACCACTTGATGCCCACTCAAACATGATACCAGCATATGCTAAACTAAACAATCAACGAGGGTTGAGTCAAACGGACCATAATCAATAATAATTGTAGAGAGGCCTAGGGCCTCTAATCTCTTATCATTGCAATTTTCCGATCGCTTAAAACATCGTAATTGTCGTATTAGTCTCCCAAAAATACATTGTAATATAATCTAATAATATAGTTATATTAAATATCAATTAATAAATATTACATTCTACAACTATTGCTGAATTTGAAACGAGTTTGAAACAATCGGCAGCTCAAAATAAAAAGCATCAAAATATCCGTTCTTTTTTTTTACATTTTAATAAATACCTTGTGATCCGCAAGTCACCTTCAATGAGTTTACATCGTAATTAGATGTGGATAGCAAATGATCATAAGAGGCACTGGACATAGGCCTACACAACAGTGTTCTTGTCAAAAAGAAAACGTCTGTTGACAGAGTGTCGAATTAACCCCAGCTATATAAATATTGAATTGTTAATCTTATTAATAATTTAAGGAATTTTCACATTTAATTAATTTTAACTGGCCTCCTACATGCCGGCGGAACAACCTTGGGAGCCGGTGAGCCCGGTTTCCAGCCCCCCCCCCCGGCCACCCCCAACTTTTTGGCAGAAAATATATAATGTCTATGGATATTTTTGTATGATCGGAAAGAAGTGCAAGAAAAGAAACCCTGACCCACTTTTATTTTTGGGGTTCGTCGATTCATGGAAAAACAGAAAGCATACCGGTGTAGGCCTATTTACTGTAATAAGAATGAGAAAAAATTACCTGACCGTTTTCAAAGGGTTAGTAACCTTGAATTTTGAAGTCATTAAAAGACAATACAGAAGTCGTGAAAGCTCAATCCCGGGAGAGAACCAACGGACCCCCTTCTTTTTGCGATTTATCGATTCATGGAAAAAAGTATACGTATGAAACTACTCGTTTTTTTTTTTTAAAGTATGTATACACACATAAGGCCTACTGAATTGAGAGAATGAGAAAAACTTAAAAATTAAAGTCATTAAAAGACGCTTCAGAAGTCGGAAAAGCTCATTTCTTGCCATTTAGAAATCAACATTTTCCCGGGGATTGATTTATAGAATCGTTTTCAAGAGGGGAAAACCTTGAGTTTTGAAGAACTTAAAAGTCAAAAAATTAAAGACACCTCAGAAGTAGGAAAAGCTCATTTCCTGCCGACTAGGAATAAAAATGTTCGACCCCACTTTCTAGTCTTCGAGATTTATCGATTCATGGAAAAAAGAAGACGTAGGGCCTATGCAACTACTCTTTTTTTAATCACACATGCCTAGGCTATTTACTGTAATAATTAGAATGAGGAAGTTTACCTGACCATTTTCAAGCGGAGGAAAACATTGACTCATTTTGAAGAAAGCTCGTTTCCCGCCATAGAATCAAAATTTTGCCGGACCCCCTTGGGATTTTTGGGAAACATGTTGACCCCACCCCCTAAATTTGAACCCAGATCCTCCCGATTCATATTCCCATTCATCTTACTAGTGCACCCCATCCCCCCATACACTAGAAAAACGTTCCGCCGGCCCTGGCTGTCCTACCCGGTTTAATTATATAAAAGTCAATAGTTTTATAAATTGAATCATATAGTTTATTAAAAATAATGTAATCATGTAGGCCTATATATAATTAATTTTTGTACATTTTTATACCTCCATGATTTAATGTAGGCCTACAAGGAAAAAACAGGAAGAAGGAAGAATACAAGTGGGTGCATTCATACAACAAGTAACAAGGGATTCGGAGTTAGCGTCAGGCACCGATTGGTGGCGTTCTCTGGGAAAAAAACATAGCAATCCATCTCTGGACATTAAAGTCTACTCTGTTGATGGCGTCTTTTCTGTGGGTTCCTAAAATCAAACTTGTTTTTTGTTTTGATAATGATAAATTAAGCTGATTTTCTTTTTGAAACCCTCAGATTGAGATTTCATGGCCGAAAATACGTAGATTAATTTCTGCAGATCTTTTGGCATAAGGTAGGTTAATTTAGAGCCACTTATCTTTTCCTAGGCTAGGCCAGGCATAGACCTAGCCTAAGCTACGGCCTAACCTAGCCAGTTGGGTGGCCAGTACTAGGCATAGGCTAGGTCTAGATGGGCCTCTTCTCTAACAAGCTTGGCCTAGCTATGCCTGTGCCTGGCTAGCCTACCTACCTATCCATAAGCTGGTTTTCCACTAGCCTAGGCGAATTTATTTGCGCCAATCAAAGCGTCGGTTCGCTTCCTGAGTTCTGATTGGTTGCGCATTTTTTTCGCTAGCAAAAACTCCAATAGAAATTTAAATGCGCGTGTGCATGAGCCGCCGCTTTCCATTCACGCGAATAAATTCACCAAGTGGAAAACAGGCTTTAGGCTGCAATCAGGGGCGGCAGTAATCGATCTTTTCGTCCGTGCTTCAGTGCTTCGGGTGCTGTTTTTGTTTTGTCTGGCATTTCGATGGTAGCATGTTTTTTTTTTGTTTTTTGCATGTTGATTTCCATTCAAATACATTTCATATTTTACCAATAAGTTAACCAGTCACCAGTGTTATACGTATACCATTGTTTACGTTTTTATATGTACCATGTAAATTTATATGCATTTCCTATCTACTATCTCCTACAGTGCTTCAAGAATTTACTTTTTTTAGGCCTAGCCTGGTCATATGTATAATAATCTTATAAATTTAAATTATAAATAACGAAAATGCACAGTGAAATCTCCGAATTGCGAATGCCCAGAAAACCAAATTTCACGCTAAAACAAACTTTTTTCATGTCCCAAAACCATTCATATTCTTCATTTAATAAATTCTGAAAAGCGAATCTCCTTATACCGAATTTTGAACGTTTTATTTGGTCCGGAACACACAAATCAACTTTTAAAAACCAATACAGTTAATAAACATGATTTCTGGACAAAATAACGAAAAAATCATTGCTGTCTAGGAATTAACTGGGCCTAGCATAACACCCTGTGAATGAAGCGTTCGTACAGCTAGCTCAGTCCCAATAGCGTTGCCATAGAGGTATCTGTTGATTAAAACGAAACGCCAGTAAACGTTAGTGTGTAATGAAGTGAAAGTTACACCTTCCATTGTTTTAATAAAGTGCCGCCTAGGTTAGGCCTAATCCTTAAAAATCGATTGGAATTAACCTGAAATGAAGACAAAGCTCAAAGCAAGTTTCTGCGACAGCGAGTAGATGTTTAATTTGAATTTGAATGTTAAATTCATCGGTGTAAATTGCAAATGCATAGCTTCACTCATTGCTCAAAAACATGTTGCTAATTACGAAGGAAATATATAAAGAATGAAATTTAAATTTGTTAGATTTATTTAAATTTGACTCTAAAACAAACAGACCGAAAATGCATGTAAATACAATATAAAAGCATTCATTTTATTGGTACAGTAATCAAATTTGCTGTGCAGTACAGCAAAACAACAGGTACTGTACATATTATATGTTAAATAATATGTTAACTTTTCATAAATTAGTCATACCAAAGTCACAGGGCTTTGCTAAGCCTATTTCAGCGTCTAGGCCCTAACTCTGGCCTACAGCAGCCTTGTTTGGAAAGGGTTCAATAGAATTGTTCTACAAACCAAACTTTCCAGAAAACCGAACATCGCGCCCGGTCCTTAGGGGGGCGTTGGTATTGGGAGAGTGCACTGTATTCTGTTGGCTGTGGATATTGTTTCGATAATTTAGGTAAAACCGAGTGAAGTGGGACTGGCTTAACCCTAACCTTAAACTTCAGTCTTCAGTCTATATGAGTGTACTTACGGCATGTTGGAAGAATATCCATACACAGGTATTTTATTTATGTGCTATTAAGTGAAATTTTTCATATTATTAGATGGCAGCATCATCTGACTCTGATACAGAATCTTCATTCATTGTTATAACTTGTAAGGGCAACATCAATGACCATGACCTGACAGAGAAACTCCAGAAAATTAAACTTCATCTCAGTAGACTCTCTGAAAGTGGTAGGTTGCATGATTATATCTAGTAGGCCTACAGAATCTTGTAATTTATAATTCAATTTGTAATTCAAAATTAATGCTATTAATGCCCTTTTACACCATTTAATTTACCCTTTTGAGAGATTAGGAGAAACCAAATATGATACTTGAATTGGCAACATTAGTAATTAGCATTTGTGTAACTGGATTTACAGAATTTATTTTAATCTATTGTTGTCTGAATGGCAGGAGACCTCTTTCTCATGTTTTGTCTTCCCACTATATAACAAAATTTCATTTTTCGAGTAAATATTTAAATCAAATTATATTCACCATTGGAACTATGTTGTTTTCGCTTTTCACCCAAGAGTATACATCAGCTTATCAAAATAATGTGTGTGAAGGATAGATTATAACTGGTGTCATAATGCATATAAATCATATACAGTATTAATTATAGTAATTGGCAAATAAATTATTTTTTGTTCTAGTAATTTTAAATTGAACAAATACTATATAAAAAGTAAGCCATAATAATAATAATAATAATAATAATAATAATAATAATAATAATGTGTATGAAATTGTATTATTTTTTTCAGATGATGAGTTACTTTCCATTTCAAAGATTGAACCATGGAACAGTGTCAGAGTAACTTTCAACATCCCACCAGAGGCAGCTCAGCGTCTTCAACATTTGGCTCAAAATGACAGCCAATTGCTTCAGAATTTGGGCATTTTATCAGTCCAAGTCGAAAACAATGACCTGGTCAATATTCCACCACCACAGGTATCTACTCCGGTTTCTCAGCATGTTCAGCCACCTTTTTCAGTTGGATTGAGTCCCGGGCAATCTGCAATGTCATCGGGAGCACCAACGTCCTCACCAATGAGGATGACAGTAGCCAACCACCAACAGTCTAATGTGATGAACCAATTAAATTTTGGTGGAATGCGCCCAAATTTGCAATGGGGTCAGGTTCAGATGCCAAGAATGCAAGGGAACATTCCATCTGGAATGCAAGGAAATATTCAAGTTGGAATACCACCTACATTGCAAGGTAGCATTCCATCAGGAATGCAACCAGGTATCCAGGCCGGAATACAACTTAATATGCATAGAGGTATGCAGCCAGGTGTGCCACAGAATGTTCAGGGAGGTATTCAACCAGGAATGCATGCCAACATGCAGACAGGAATTCAAGGTAATATTCAACCAGGGGTCACTCCTCCAAATATACAAGGAAATATGCAGAGTGGAATGCCGCCTGGTTCGCAGACAAGTATGCAATCTGGAAGACAGTCTGGGATGCAAGGAAATGTGCAGCCTGGGATGCAACAGGGACTGCATGCCAATATGCAGCCCGGGATGCAAGGAAGTATGCAGCCCGGAATGCAAGTAGCCGTGCAGCCCGGAATGCAGGGAGGTTTGCCACCTGGGATGCAAGGGAACATGCAACCTGGAATGCAGGGTGGTATGCAGCCAGGTATGCAGGGAGGTATGCAGATTCCACCCGGAATGCAGGGAGGTATGCAGCCAGGAATTCAGGGAGGTATGCAACCAGCAATGCAGGGAGGTATGCAGTCTGGGATGCAACCTAATATGCCACAGGGTATGCAACAAGGAATGAATCCAAATGTACCATTCAATCAAATGTCCCAGTTCTTTTTCCAAGGTGAAATGCCCATGCAAAGATTTGGCTTAAATATGAGTCCACCAGCAGATGCCAGACCAAAGAAGAAGAGGCGGTCAAGACCAAAAACCAAAAAGAAAAATGCCGAAAAAGATAAAGATGTGACTAAGAGTCCTGAAAGTCAGCTTAAAGAAGCAGATAGTCCTCAGACCACAGGTGAAATAAAACCCATTGCTACTCCTCCACCCAGTTTAGCAAATAATCAAATGAGCCCAGCTACCAACACCAATCAGTCAAACACAAACCAGAATCAGCAAGCACCAACATCTTTGCCTTTTGCTGAACCAATGCAACCAAGATCAACGACCTCTACCCCACCTATAAGGAAGCCAGATGTCTCTATTACAAGTCCTCTGTTGGTTAATCTGTTACAGCGAGAAATTCCTGGTACACAGTTCCCATTTTCAAGTCGTGGAATAGTTCCTAGTTCATTAGCTAATGCAGTCCAGCAAGGGGTAGTAAACCCTAAAAAGCCTATGAATAATTTGTCTCAGTCTACCTTATCCCAAGGACTACCCCCCATGCCACCAGCCAGTGAAATTACTCGGATGCTACCCGAATCAATTGGGCTCCCCCCTCTGCCCACAAGTCAGTCTACTCCTGCTATGTCATCATCACAAATGTCATCATCACAGTCTAATTTAGTTTGTAGTCAAACACCAAACAGGCAGCCAGTTAATACAATGAATCAACCAGTGCCAACCCAACATTTTCAGTCACCCTCTAACACAACTCAAATGAATCAACCAATATCAGATGCAACTCACAACCTTTTTGCTACATCTCAGAATGTACACAGTTCAGCTGTCTTAACAAATGTATCGGCTCAAAAAGCTCAACAGAATATGCCTACATTAGCTAATAGTAATGTGGCCGGCTTCACTACAGTCTCAGGCATGCCATTGCAGCAGCCAAGTTCAGTGATGCAGCCTGGCTTGGGTGTTCCTTTTGGACATATAGAACAAGCACGTCAGACTCCAACACCTCTTAGCAACAACATGTCACCACCAGTTAGATTGTCAGGTATGCAATCTCCAGGACCAAATAATTTACCATTCACGACTCCAGGTATGATTAACACAAGCATGGCACATGGAATGCCAACCCCATTGCAACAAGCCCAGGCTCTACAATCAGCAGGTCCTACCTCTGTCTATCAGCAAGGTATGAACCAGATGATACACCAAGGACAAAGACAGTTCCCTTCTGTGACATCTCAAATTCGGAACCAACTACCATTTGCACTTCAAGTGCAGCATCAGCAGTCACAGATCCATCAACTCAATCAATATTTACCTTCTAATATCAACCAACATGCTAATGCTGGACAAACACCTACAAACCAAGGACTCAACTTTCCACAGGGTACAAATTTCAACCAAGGTCCCATGTTCCATCAGAGACCACAGGTGTCTGTCAACATGCCCTTTAACATGGTGAATATTCCCGTATCCACTGCAACAGCAAACCTTCCACAGTTTAGAATGGCAACATCTACAGAGTTGCCACATGTAAGTGGCAAAGGAGGGATACCTGGAACTGGTGGGAATGTGATGCAAACTGGACCGATGAGCTTGATATCTGGAAGTACTAATAAATTACCTGTTCATTCAAGAGGAAATCAACAAATGCCTCATACTACCCATCTTCCTCCAACAAGCATCACTTTTCCGTCCATACCAAGATTTCCAGTGAAACCACCAAGTAAAAGTGTTATGCCATTTGATGAAACAACATTAGATGGCATCAGTGATGCTGAAAAGGACTTGCTCGCTATGGCAGAGAAAGTTGCAAATGAAGCTGGTATGGAGACAAGTAATAGAATGGCAAACCTTTTCTCTAAAGACAGTTCACGTGATGAAAAACAAACTTCTGTAGTCTCCCCTAAAGATTTGCTTACAAAAGACCCTGGACATTTAAAAATGTCAGATTTTGTTAATACTTCAGGCAATGAAGAAATAAAAGATGTTAAATCTGACAATCATAAACAGAAGAAATCACCTGTGATTCAGCTAACCAAAAACCAACATGATTTGTTTACAACAGGGGATACTCAGAATATAGCCTCATGGAGTTCAACTATACTACCAATACATGGTAAAGAGGGATATTCATTACATACTCATACACCTCCAACAGTCAGTGATAAAAAGACTGTAGAACAAGTTGATAGGAACAATCAACAGAAAGCTGGAGAATTAATAGAAGGTGGTGTTCCTGACAACTCACAAACAATCAAATCCACTTTCTGCCTTCCTAGTGATGGAACTTCAAAATCGAGCAGCTCTCGGACTGTTGAACAGGGTGCTGGAGTTGGGGTGCCAGTCTCCGAGACTGGGGCTCATTATGTATCAATTAACAGAGGGGAAATTCCTTATCACAATATAAACTTCCTGTCACAATTTAACCCTGGTGCTGTTTCTGATAAGAAATTAGACAACCCTCATTTAGCAGCTGATGAGTTGAAGAATAGGAATAAGCATCAAAGCTTTGGAACAAATATTAACGTACCAGCTCAGAATTTAAACCAAGGACCAGTACCTGAAAGGAAGGTTTCTGATAAATCAAGTATCTTAATGCAAATGATGAACATGGATTCATCTCATGATAACCCAGACATGATGAGCCTAACAAGAAGTATAAGTGAACCTGTTGGAACCCATGGAGGACAAACAACAATGGCACAAGAAACCATCCACACCGACTCAAACAAAATGCCAATCCTAGAGAGAATGCCGACTGACAGTGAAAGTAATCCAACTCAGTACCAACAGGAGAATGGCACAGATGTTGCAGAAATGAATGCAAAGCAAGCTGTTCCTGGATTATCTCAGCCTCTGATGCCACAATTAATGCCAAAGCAACCCCTTCAGCAGCAAAAAGTTAACATTTATTCACCAAAACCATTGTTATTACCTAGTTGTATGCCTCCACCAACTCATGTATCAACTGGGAATTTAGTGAATCCTGAAAATCAAAAGCCAGCTTCATCTGCCCAATTCAATAAGAGATCTAGATCTGTGTCACCAGTGACACAACAAGGAAGTGAATTTCCTAGACTACCTCTGGGTGGAGGACAGTTCATCAAACAGACTCAATCTCCAACTACATCCAGTCCGTCAGGCATGGGAATGAGTGCCAGTGCCCTTTTAAGCTCAATTGCAAAGTCTGCATACAATGCTGGTATGACTCCAAGAATACAGAGTCCATCAGAATCCAGACCCTCTACTTCCCAACCAATTGGTCTCCCACCAAATACAAGTGCGCCTTCTCCAACAGGGCTCCCTTTATATGCGAACCCTTTAGGACCAGATGCTCATACCAAACCAATTACTGTGAGAGTTTCACCTGTGCCTACTCCAGAAGTGATCAAATCAACACCAACACCATTGTTACCGTCAGTCTTACCAATTGTCAGTCAGTCTTCAAAGAATAATGAGCCAAAAGATATGAGGGGATATTCAAATTTGTCATCTTCTGTAAGAGCAGTGGAAATGAAGCAAGCACCTGTAATTTTAACTCAAATCACTCATTTAGAAGAACCCACAAAATCATCTATACCACATCAAGAGACAATTCCTGATCAACCTCCATCAAGTAATGTTTCACAGGTAATTGCACCTGTACAGGCAATACAGAAGGAAGAATCTACACCCAGTATTGGCCAGTCAAATCCAGATATCAGCATTGGTCACAATAAATGTTCTTCAATTAGCAATCAACTGGGAGATGTTGAGACATCAAACTCTACACAAGAATTGTCAAAGGATTCATCTGCTGCAAAACTGAAAAGAAAACATGACAATGATGCTCCCAGCGATCCTGCTCCTAAGGTTCTGAAAATAGAAAGTGACGCAACAACAAATGTCAACCAAGTAAATATTGAAGATGATTCCAGTGAATTACAGAACATCCAACAAACTGATGGTGATCCTGAACTTTCAGGGGATCATAGGCCTTTACCACTACTGGTGAGAGAATCAAATATTGAAGTGGGTAAAACATTTACAGGGAATGACGGTACATCTGATGATCCATCTTTAATGGATGCTACTGCTGGGGATAATGATGTTGTTGCCGCTAAAGAAGTTTTAACCATGCCAACACTTCTACCATCAAAAGTAGAACTAACTGATATTGCAAAATGCAAAGATTCTAAATATGACACTGCCATTTCTCTCGCTCTTGAAACTACCTCAAAGGTTGTTGAGGGCAGCAAAATTGCTGGAGACACAAATATGCCTTTGCCACCAAAGGACTTGCCTGTGCAAAGTGATGTTACAAAAACAGACATTGCAAAAGACACTACAGAATCTAAGCAAGAAGGAACACCATCACAAATAGACTCAAAGCTGGGGACAACTTCAGCGACAACTTCATCCAAGAGTCTTACTGAGACATCCCCAGCAAGTTCTAAAGACTGCACAAAATCATCTCCAGTTGAGAGAAGAACCACACCAAAGAGGAAAGCAGCAGAGGAGGCTAGTAGGCCAGTGTCTGAGAGGGCAGCACAAAATCGTCAATGCACTAATCAGCAAGTTGATGAACCACCAGCCACTCGTGCTAGAAGAACAACAAGAAACAAGTCTCCAACAGATCATCCAACACGGCTTAGGGAAAGGGAAAGAGAAGATTCTATTGGAAGCTGTCGGGATCAGCATACAGACCCAGGAACAGATAATGATGGGCGTATGACAAGGAAAAGAAGTACAAGAATAATTGGCAAAGGTGAGTTTTTTATAGACTGCATTTGATTGACTGGATGCAAGGATGTCAGTAAATACCTTTGATATTTAATCTTTACATCATCAATTCATTTTAATTAATTATTATCCAACATTTCGTCTTTGTAACAAACATATAATAATATTTAAAAACAAAATAAATATGCAATTACAGAAAAAAACCTCATTAATTCAATTTAAAAAAAAACTATGTTTCATTTAAACAAATCAAATATGTTATTAAAATAATTTTACTATAAAAAAACCTTAAGGTGATTAAGCTGTCGATTTAAAATGTCTATGTAAAAAAATATACATGGAGGTAAAAGCTAAAGTTTATGTCTGTTGGCAATTTTTTTAAATTCCAATTTTCATCACAGATAAACACTGGTAATATGTGGAGTGAAATTCCTAGGCCTCTGTAAGTCCCCCAGTGGTAGTTGCAATGTTTCCGAGAAATATTCATTTCAAATTTAGCAAGAAATGGTATATAAGAAAGCAAGCAATTCAAGTTTTGAAGCTCATCACACACAGTTGATACTTAACATTTTCTTTTTAATTCATAATCAATATTGATTAAGAGATGTCGCATAACATTTTTTTAAAATCTTTTGAATCATTGCAGGAAACAAGGACAATAAAGAAAAATAGGACACATCTGGCAGTGTACTGAACCAGTGGAGCTATGGAAAACCAAATACTTTATACAACTCTCCAACCTGTTATTCCTCTCCCACCCCCTTATACAATACGTAACCACCTATCTGATAATGATTTCACATAATTACAGTATGTCATTTTTATATTTTATACATTTTTTAAATAATAATGATGATAACTATAATAATTTTAAGAACTAATACTAATAATAATACTGCATTTATAAAAGGGCCATGTAGATTTTATGGATTCTGTTTAGGTGATTTTCATTAAGCCCTATTTATTTGTTTAAGGTTGTTGTTGTGTGGTTGTTATTACTCCTGCTTTAATAATAATAGTACCGTATTAGTAATCTATTTTTATATTCCCAATATCATTTGCTTATTTGCCAAGTACTTTTTTTTCTCGATAAAGTATGTTAAAGTTTTATGCTGCAAGGACACTGTTCCCTACCCCACCATTAAAAAAGAAATTACATTAAATTTTGTTCATTTTAGTTGTCAATTACTCACTGAAATGTATCTGTGGTATTAAGCCCATTATTATTGCCATAGTTTGGATATAATCCCAACCCCTTGAACATCAAATTAGCCCAATTTTGAGGGGGGGGGGGGGGGGGTTTTGGGGGGGGGGGGGGGGTGTGAAATGTGGGTTTTTTTATACCTAGAAAATCCATGTCCATTAAAAAATGGGTTTGTGTTCAAATTTATAGGGGGGCACATCAAAAGTCAAATTTTCAACCTTGGATGTTTTGTCTGAAATTTGTTGTACCCTAGGCTTTAGCCCTGGGAAATGCTGATATGTAAAATCAGACTTAAAAGTTGGGAACAGGCTTATACCCAAGGAACTATGTTCTCTGGTTATTCATTTTATGGCTCTGTGAATGGCAGTTTTTGTATTATAGTATCTAGGTTTTGTAAATATTAGGTTTTTAGAGTAAAAAAGTGAGGTAATTCTCACTTAAAAGCTTTATACAATAAAATTATAGAAATCAATAAATGCATACACTGATTAAGGTAAAATTTTAAAAATATGCTATAAAAGCATTTTATTAGTTAAAGTATATTCTGTTAAATGGATATATTATTCTCTCTCGTAGTTTCATTGACACGTTTGTATACCGAAGCTCAAGGCAAATGAGCAATTAATTTAAATTATCAAAAGGTGCACTTTGTTCAAATAAAATAAAATAGTGACTTCAAATAGAGAAAATGAGGCCATATTTACTCAATGTTTCGGCGAAACGTGAGTAAATATGGCCTCACTTTCTCTGTTTGGAGTCACTTTTGTTTTAATTAAATTTATCAGCATACATGTATTTTGTATTCCAATTGCAAATTTACTTGTGTAATATGCTACATTGTTTGTTTGCCTTTTGCTTTAAAAATCTTCTACTAAGTTTGTGCCTGTATTTTATGTCTAAACAGTGTAAACATCCTGATATTTAGTGTTGGCGCCACGATTTGCCCAACATGGGGTCTAAGCAGGGGGTTTACCTTAGGGGCTTCAGGGTAATGAGCTCTAGGCACCTTAAATTGTGCATGGCCATTTGTTGGAACGTTATAGTTCGTATTATGCGCAGATTGTTTAGGCCACTACATATTTTGGTTCAAAAAGTTGTGGCCAAAGAGGACGGGGCTTTTCTGAATGGGCTTAAAATTCCCTAATCTCCCTCCCATTTTCGCTGACGCCACCACTGATGTTCTTGCTGTGATTTCTGTGAAGTACCCAGTACCTAGTCTTAAGCTTGGTTTCCATACAATCGCTGCACGCTATCGCAGACAGCTTTTGGTCAGTAGAATGGGGGAGCCCTTCCGATTTCATCAGGACTGTTCCACAGTACAAAGTTTGCACTGAATACACCAGTGACTGTGTAGTGATTTTATGAAGACCAGGCTTTTTTCACTGGTAATTGTCACAATATTAGAATGGAATATATTGCTGCCAAATTGTACTCGCACAACTACATTATACACTCTTAAAAGGATCTAATTACAGCATAATTGTGTGTTATAATTTTATTGTGTTTGTGTTCTGTCATCTAGAAAACCCTGTTCTAAATTTGCCAAAAGAAATATCTAAATCAAATTCCTATTCTATCAAATTTTCTTTTTTGTAACTGAAGGTAGGAAAATGTTAGAAGCATCAAATAATTGTTTTAGAATGTATAAATGTGTATTTTTAAAACATTTGAATTTATTGTGATAAAGGATATTCATTTAATTTTTTATTAATTAATATCGGTGTTACCATTTATTTTATTTCTGACTGTAGTTTTCAATGTTGTGTTGCAGTGTAATGCTTTTATTCCAGCCAGCACTCAGATTTTATGTGACAAATAAAAGTGGTAGTCCATATTTGTGTGTTTAATCATGCCCATATTATGGGCACATCACACAGATTTCTCAAATAAAATTTGATAGTGTGTACTGAGATTGAAAGGGTTTTGAATCTTGTTGCTGCCTTCAGTAGTCCTGTTTTATTGATTTCTGATGATATTCGTAGTTAAGCATATTCTATATTTCTCTGTACAGCTTTGTAAAATAAATGTTAATATGAAAAGAACTTAATGATGCTATAGCTTAGAATATTATGTGTCTCCATAGTTTTTGTTACGAAAATTAAAAGGCCCTGCAAAAATGTTACCGTAAATGCTCGAATATACGCCGCACCAAACCTATTTTTTTTTTTAGCTAAGCGCCTCTCTTGAATAAGCGTCGCAGTGCTTATTTGAGAGTATTATATTATTCTGTGTGTAATGAAAACACTTTGAGATGTGGTTTTAAATGCAATGTATACAGTGTTAAAATGAATATTACACAATGAAGACACAATAATTTCTTTATAAACGTTTATTTACGATGACGTAGAATCTATGATAGGCCTACCGAACTACGGGAATACGTGAGATAGTTAACATGGGAACGGCCATAGAAAGCGCCACGCCAATATTTTTGATAAGCGCCGCTCTCGAATAACCACCACACTGAAGCCTCCAAAAATGTTATAAGCGCCGTGGCGCTTATTTGAGTGTTTGCAGTAAATTTATTTATCCAAACAGGAACAGTGTAAAAGGGAACACCAAATACTGTAATAGAATTTTGATAGTATCTAAGTATATAAAAATAATATATAGAATTTTAACACTATATTGCTATTTTTAAGGAAAACAGTAGCATAACGATGATCTATGGGGCCCCCAGAACAAAAGTGTTTGAGGTGACGGTACTTGAGTGAATCCTTCCACCTACCTTAAAAAATTATGAATATTGAAACTAGAAACACAATAATAGGCAATTTCAATACCGAATCAGGGGCGGATCCAGCCTGCCAGAAAAGGGGGGGGGTGCAATCTGCGAGTGAAGCGAGCAGTCTTAGGCTGGGGGCCAGCACATTTGAGGAATATGAGGTTGTATTGAGTCGATTTTTACTATCTAGCATGGTAGTTTTCAATAACAAATATTTTTTTTTTTAAATAGGTGTATGTCTTTTAAAAGAAATTTTAATAGGCCTATGCAGGGTACCTGCAATATGCAACTATGAAATGTGTCATTAAATTAATAATAATTCATCAACTCACAGCTGTGGGTTTTAGTGCCTCTTCCACGAACATCTCAAACATAATCTTTGACAACATGCAAAGGCTCATAAATGTACACCATTTTAAAAGAGAAATTTCACTTCTAGAAAACATGATGAAAGTTCTCAGCAACATCTAGCATAAAAATCACAAAATCAGCAAAAAGGAAAACTAATATCCAAAATCCGTTAAAAAAAAGTCGTCAAACACCAAAATCCGCTACTGTATATTAACATTGAATAAATTAGAAGTGTTCTATTTCTCACCAAGTCGATTTATGAATAGCACTCTCTTGGCGTGTTTTTGGTAGGAAAAGAAGACTTTCTGACAGCACATACCTGCTGACCTCGATAGAGAGTGATTGATTGCGCGAAAGTTTCCATGCTGGTGCATCTGCGCTTAAACTTTCTTTGTAGCTATGCATTGCGCGATGTGACATAGAATCAACCTTTCTATGGAATTGAGTATCCATAATCATCTCATTTTTTTGTGATATAAAGGGAGGGGGAGCGTCGCAGGAAAAACCACAGTTCGTCGGGGAGAAAAATATGTGTGTGTGTATTACATAATTAATAGACCTGGAACATTTTCGAGAGATTTTTAGCGACGCCCTAACGCGCCTCTTTTTTCGGAGATATCGCTACACCACCCCTTACCCCGTTTTCGTTCTTTTACGTCCGAAGTGTCAAGGCTCAGTAGAGAACACTGACTGCTGCTAGTAGGAAGGTTCTATACAGGCCTCCTTTGCAGGGGCGGATCCAAAGGTGTGCGAAAGGGGATCGAAAGTGGGGACAACACTCCCCTTCCCCCATTTTTTGTTTTCTAGACGCCCGAAAATAACATCTGAGGCGTTTTCTCAGTCCACCCCTGTTTTGGACTGAAGGGCCAGTGCTTTTCCCCAGAGATCCCAAAGGTGTTATCCACTCTGAAAACACACGTAATGTAGAGAAACCTATAGATAATATCACCAATAACTCGTTTGAATAAAAATATCTAGTTGGTAGTGCGGTATCGTTATCGGTGTAGGTGTGACCTGGCCTTTAGAAACTTCGAACTATTTTAGTACATGATGTTCAATATAAGATAAACTAATAGTAAAAAACCAGAGGATCCACTAATTAGTTTCAAATAGATTTAAAAAAAAAAAAGATACAGGTAACTCCAAAAACAGAAAATACACTCTGAATCTCAAAATATCACTGTCAGTTTTCGGAGTAATAATAATAATAATAATAATAATAATAATAATAATAATAATAATAATAATAATAATAATAATAATAATAATAATAATAATAATAATAATAATAATAGGACTATTAAATCAAATTCAATTTAAAGTTTTATTCATCATCAAATCAAGTCAATTTACAAATAAAATTTATTTAAATGTTAAAAATAGGATAAAAGATGAAAAGGACATTCATGAAACTTTATAGAGCTTGTAAAATGAAACTGTAACTCACAAGATAATTATACAACCTAACCTATCCTAACATCAAAATCAAAGGAAGAATTTCAAAAGCAAGCAACCAATGACCACGGGCACTTTTTCAACGGGTTTGGGGTGGTATTTCCAGGACAACCGATTTTTTAACATGTTTGATAACAACAGAGGCAACAAGTAAAGGTAAAACTGTCTGATTTTTGTCTATGTCTAGGCCTATGTCTACCTTTTTTTAGACCATGGGCGGTGTTTTCGAACAAGGCCGTGCAAGGCCATACACAATTTTTTTAAAATAAGTTCGGGGATATACAATAAATTCAGAAGTAGATTTTAACAATATCTCCATGATTTGACGGTGCATACATATCATACTTATTACTTCAGCATTGTGCATTCTTTGTTTAAGATTGAGTGGTTAAGGTTTTGCAAAGCTTGTGTGATAGTCACGACGTCGTGAAAACCTTGATCTTTGCTGCATGGGGAGGGGTGCGCGGCGGCACACGAGCCTTCAAAAATTAATCGCGTCCGCTCCCCAAATCGCCCTAAAAAAATCACAGTGAAATAGTTAAAAATCATCTAAAATCTACTTATTTTCCGAATTAGCGCCCCTCAACGGGCTATCGATCCCCCACTTCACCTTTGCGTCCCCCTCCCCATCAGTATTTTACTTGAACCGATTAACATAAATTCCGATTTTGAAACATTTAAACTTCATTTTGTAATATGGATCTATTAATTAAGATCTTGTCCATGTTTTACCAACCATGATTTGATCTGATCAAGACTATGGTTTGGTATAGGCCCTCCAGTATTACTCTCCATTGCTATGCAATAATAATGTGAAAGTCAAATTCCTGGAGATTCGTGCAGGGCAGGCAGAGGTTTCCGACGCGTGTACAGCTAAAGCGCATTTACAAGAACACACTTGTACAAATTTATCGCCTTGTACAATATAAAAACAAACAGGTTTGGGCAGGATTGGGTCACTGTTCATACCATATTGCTGCCTGAGAATGTTCAATAAATCTTATTTCTGCCAGAATTAATGCATAAGAGTATGGGAAAATTTAGCCCTAATTGTGAAAATCTGTTAAAATCCTGGAGGAATACAAGAGAAATTCAAATTCCGGGAGAAAATGTGGAATTTACAGGAGATGAACCAAACTTCCTGAAGACACCAGGGCAATCCCGGAGACTTGGGAACCCTGCGTATCTGCCGCGCATACCGTAATACAGTTACTAGTTTGGTTCCAGAGCCGTAGATAGAGAGAGTTTGGCCAACTCGGTTTCAATCACGTGACTTACACCGGCCATGTTGTCACCAAAACAACAACGCGATAGGGTAGGAAGTTAGATTAATGCTATATAATGTGAAATACCGTTATGTTGGGTTTGGGGTTGCTGCAATCGATCCAATAAAAAAAAATGTATTAATTTCCTTAAATTCCAAAAAGGAGGATTTGGGATTTTATTTTAACCTTGCATGGCGATCGAAAAATCTCGCTATCCACGTAGTATTAGTAAATTATAAGGCATGTACCGCCCGCCCCACTTCGCGGTAATAATATATCCAACTACTACTACTAGGCCTAGACAGGCCTAAATTTCGGGACTTCTTCGGCCGTACACCTTAAGGTAGTACTTAAATCAGCTTAATTACGATGATAATTAAAAAGGAAGAATTTTCAAGCAGCAATGATTTATAAAAAGATGCAATGTTGCAATTTGCTGTTAAATTATATAACTAAATTTCCAGAAAGCTACATGAAG